TTATACAGGCTGACGATTTCTTACTTGTAACTCTGAATTCTGAAAAGCTCTCCAAGCTCCCCCAACCCCAACTCATTTAGGGAGCCCTGATGGCGCAGTGGTTGAGAGCTTGGCTGCTAACCAAAAGATCAGCAGTTTGAATCCACCAACTGCCCCTTGGAAACCCTATGGGGCAGTTCTACTCTGTCCTTTAGGGTCACTAAGAGTTGGAATTGACTTGATGGCAACGGGTTTTTTTGGTTTAACTCATTTAGAAACAAAATTCCGTATGACTAAACTCTTTTGGTGGCACAACCTAAGCTGAACCAAGACCATTTTTATGGTCTTATGACTCACACAGTATGTGCACTGTAGATCCTTCCAAAATTCTGAACTCCCAGACAACATGGCTCCAAGAGTGTTGGGCAAGGACTGTGGACCTCTAGCTCTGTGGCCTCTCCATCATCAATGACTGTTATTTCCATTACACTTCAGCATCCCATTTCCAAGGCTGTACCCACCTGTTGCCGTCGAGTTGATTCTGACTCATAGTGACCCTAGAGGACAGAGTAGAACTGCCCCATCGGGTTTCCAAGGAACGGCTGATGGATCTGAACTGCCAACCTTTTGGTCAGCAGCCTGAGCTCCTAACCACTGTGCCACCAGGGCTCCAAGGCTGCACCTAAGAACCTGTTACTGCCCAGGCTGCTTCTTTTCTAATACCTTAAGCTCTCACACCTCATTTTCAGACTACAGGACCTTATCATTCCCTCGCTCCTACCATATCTGCTCCTGGACTTGCTGAGACTTCTCATCGCTTGACATGTCCATGTTCTCCCTGTCTGTGAGGCTCCTCTGGCTTCAGGCCCTTCCCTGTCCTGGTAATGCCACATAGTCCGGCTCCGCCATTACCCTCCTGACACGCTGTCTGTCCTACAGAACCCCAGCATTGTCTCACTCCAGCTACCCGACACTGGCTCTTCACCCTTGGGCTAAGAGCACGACGCAGAACACGACACCAGCGCACGGCAGTGCCACCGGGACCCTCAGCCGGGCCCTAGTGTTGTCCGGGGGGCCACTCTGCGATTCCAAGTCTCGTTTCCCATGGACTCCAGATCACGGTACTTTAAGCTCTGTGGAATCTGACCATCCCAAACTGTCTAATTTCTATTTCTACTCTACCACGTCCCCCTTCAGTCTCAGCAGATGACTCAGTCTTATTTTAGTTCAAGTAAAAACTGCCCTAACTTTCCCTGGGCTGCCTCTTCATCTCTACCAGCTCATCTGTTCCCACATTTCTGTGGAATGCGTGTCCCTTCTTTTCTAGAATCTTCTAAACTGGGTCTCACCCCACCCCACCCCCTTGGGTTCCCTTTTACCAATTCTATCTTCGTTTGCTTCTCTTCTGTTCGGAGGCGGGAGATACTAAGTTCTAAGTTAAGTGGTTAGAATCAGACAGACCTGGACTTGGCTCCGGATCTGCCAGATGCACCCTTTCTTAGACCGTGTTTCCTTGCTACAAACACAGGGTAACAGCAATGCCCGTCACACACGTGGAGTCATGGCAGCAACGTGCTGACTAGCTCACCGCTCTCAGCTCCACTGGCCCTCTGTCCAGGGCCCACAGGTATTTTCAGGTGTCATGTTCGTTTGTTATTTTTTAAATTATAAATCCTTTGTTTCTTGTTAAAAACTGAACAACATGGAAAATACAGGTTAAAGCGTTAACGCTCTCTTCACTCAGCCTCCCCTCCCCTCACCACACAGAGAAGCGGCCACAGTGAGCAGTGTGGTGTGAGTTACTCTCTAAGCTGTGGTAACCTGCTTTTCGGTCCTATCACTTCAAAGAAACTGCTGTTTCGAGGTCATAAATAGCGTCTCCTCACTGCCAGACTCTGTGGAGCACTGTCTGATCTTGCTGGGACATGCTAACCACACCTTCTACCTGCTTTCCGCCTTGCTGTCTGCTGGACTTCCGGTCGGGCTTGCCCTCAGGATTCTGCCTTTAGCCCTTTGCTTGTCCCGTTTCTTGCATTCAGATCAAGCACCAAGCAGACATTTCCGCTAGGATGTTCCACTGCCACGTTTAGACTCGACAGGCTGAAGACAGTGATGTGGCGTTTTCTGCCACACCCCCAGCCCTATTCCTAACACCAATCATAGCAGTAGTTCCACCCTACCATGTAGCTAGTAGCTATCCTTTTTATTTTAAAGATAAGCAAATGGAGGCTGAGAGGTAATTTTCTCCAAAGTTACACAGTTAGTAAGTGGTAGAGCCAGGATTTGATCTGGGCCTGCCTGACGGTAGAAACTGGCTTCTTCACCCCCTGCCACTCGGCCTCTCCTTACCAGACAGAGTGGTCTGTCACACCGCCTAAGCCAGAAATGGGAATTTCTTCTCTTCAGTTAATGCAGATACTGGGAACTGACTGCACCAGGCTCACAGCTTTCCAGGTTTTAACCCTCAGTGAAGCAACGCCTCTGCCCAGCCCCGAGAGTTTCTGTGTTACAGGTGGGAGAAACCACAGAAGTACAGAATCCAATGATTATCCAGCTACACGAGTCCCTACTTAGGCCAACCATGAACCAAGGGAATTTCTGGGTGCCATTTTCTACACGAGGGATGGCTACAGAAATGGTTGGTGGATGGCCTGCGAGCTGTTCAACCCAGAGAAAGCAAGATTCACAGAGCCTACATTCATCTGAAGAGAGGTCATTCTGAACAGTCTCCAAAAGCTACAAGTTACATAAGCTGATAACAAGGAAGAATTTTTTGTTTGAAATATAAGGGGGGAAAAAAAGAATGGGTTGCTTCTAAAATGAGAATGCTCGTATTAAATGTGAACACAATGACTACTTGCGGGGCTGCTGGGGTAAGCTTTGGAGAGATCATAAAGGTTCTGCCCAGCTGACAGCTGATGCTTTTATGAAATACTAGTATTCCACAACCATGAGACCAATGCCTGCCTTTTCGTGTTCATTTAAAAGACTGGTTTTCTATATGTATGTTATACTTCAATAAAGACACTTATTGAAGAAAAAGAAACAAAGATTCTGGCTCCTTTTTCTTTCCAAACAGCAGGGGTGGGAAGGAGAACAAGCAGAGCAGCCGCTCATTTGAAGCTTGTAATCACTGTCCCCTTTTGGGTTCAAGAATCACTAATAAAGTGGGATCCATGCCACGTGCCATCACTGAATATCTTTTAGTAGGTTTACTCTAGGACCACTGTGAAAATTATTAAACATTTTTGTATTTTATTTTAAAATTTAAGTTCTACATGAATGACCCTAAAAACAAAAATGGGCCCATCATAGTGAACTGGATGGCTACTTATACACAGGAAGCGAGGTATTGAACTCACAGCCAAATTCCTTCTTTGTGATAAAGACAGTATATGTTCACTTTAATCATGCCCCCAATGTGGCAAAAACACACATATATATAACTTGATCTAATAAAAACAGGAACTTTAAGCATTCACTTTATATTAATATAAAAAATACCCTAAAATATGTTAAGTGCTATTAATAATTTCTGTAGGAATTAATACATAATATTCAAGACGTTTTACAAATCCAAATGCACGTAATTCTAACAGATGTCTATGTAACTAGTCCCCGTATCAATGGGACTAGGAAATTCTCTCAAAGAAAGCACCTGACCTCTGGGATGGCAGGTTTCTGGGCCAAATTCCCTGTGTAAACTAAAGGCAAACACACTCCTTGGTAAGGCAGTGAGGGAGCTATTTAAATAGACGTAGAGTAATATGTATTAGCACGGCTGCCGCAGGAGAGACAGGAAGATGCAAAAAGTTCAGGCTGTAAAGGGATAAAATTGAAATACAACTAGAAGCCATTTCTTGGTTTTGACACTTTGATTCCGGAAGTTACAAATTAGCCTACCTATGTATGGGTGGTATGCAGACTTCTAAGGTGGCTCCCAACAATTCCTACCTCCTGGTATTCACGCCCTTGTGGAATTCTGAGCCTGAGCTCAAACACACTTTCAATGACTAGAATACCGCAAAAGTGAAAGGATGTCACTTCCAAGATTACGTTATGGGAGACTGTGACTTCTGTCCTGCTACCTTTCTCTCTCTCTTGCCAGTTTGTTCTGATGAAGCCAACTGCCATGTTGTGAGCTGCCTTTCACAGAGGAAAGCAGACAGGCCTCTGGCTGATAGCCGGCAAGGAGCTGAGGCTCCCAGTCCAGTAACAGCCCGTGAAGAACTGAATCCTGCCAACAACCACTTGAGTGAGCTTGGAGGTGGATCCACCTCCAGCTGAATGTTAAGATGACTTCCGCCTTCGCCCACACCTTGACCACAGTCGAGAGGATCCAGCTAAGCTGCACCTCGATTCCTGGCCACTGAAACTGTGAGACAGTCAATGTTACTGTTTTAAGTCACTAGGTCTTGGTGTAATTTGTTACTCAGAAATAGATAGCTAACATAGTAGATAAAACTCTAAAGCAGAGATCAGCAAACTCTTTCCGTAAAGGGCCACGTAATAAATACTTTTCAGCTTTGAGAGCCATATGGTCTCTGTTGCAACTACTCAACTCTGCCACTGTTTCATGAAAGCAGCCAGGCAATATGTAAACAAATGAACATGCTTGAGTTCCAATAAAACTTTACTTACAAAGAAAGGTGGCATTTCTGCCCGCTGGCTGTAGTCTGCCAACCTCTGCTCTAAAGTAAAGGTTGTGCAGAAATCCTATTTTTGAGTTAAAAGGCAGACAATCTCGGTTTTACCACTGTGTTCGAAATAATTTTAACAATTAAAAAAAAAAGCTTAACCTATCAGCAATAATCACAGGCGGCTGAAAACAAAAACAGTAGATGCCCAACACACTTACAAATGGACGCCTATGCTTGTATTGTGATATGGAGACGTCGAAGCCCAACACGGGAGGTAAGTTTGAGCTGGAAGAACATCTAATAAATCAGCTGTTTATCAGAACTGCGACCACAACAGCACCCACAAGTCACATTTTGCTGACAGTGGGAACAGATGATTACCTTTGCTTTTTGACAATGGTGATGGAGGCTGCTCTGTAAACACTTCTAGGGGCGGGGAGTCATGGTGGTCGAAGTCTTTGTCCATGGCTTCTATGAGACTGGTGATGTCTGAGTCCTCTGAGCTGTGCCTTGTGCTGCTGGCACGTTCTGGGTGGGCAGGGTGTGCGAGGGGGGTGGGAGACAGCCTCTCGGGCTGCGGCTCCTGGTGCTGAGGCACTGTCGGTGCTGGCGGAGGTGGAGGGTGTGGCTCCAGCGGGCTGTGGACATGGTGCTGGCTGCTCTGCTGGTTCTGTTTGGCCCCTCTGGACTTCCTGCCCGCTGTGTGGCTCTGGGGCGCTGCGTTTGAATCTAAGACAAGGGGGCTGGTTTTGCCAGAAGACTGTGAGGAAGCTGCTTGTGCAGAAGTCCTGCCAGAGGTACTGGAACTGTTTTTGGGTCTGACGCTTTCCACGTCAGCTGAGTTTCTATTGCTGTGGCTGCTGTGTGGATGGACTGACGGGCCACACTGCTTATGACTCCCTGCACTGGGTCTGGATGATGAGCCGCCAGTTCCACAGAACCCCCTGCTGTGACCAGCGTCACAGGTGAGCGTGTTCAAGCTGAAAAAGGACCAACTGCAGGTCAGTAAATAGCAACCTACAAAATCTGTATTAGAAAATATTTCATCAGTACAGCCATTGCTCATATAAACTACTTTAAGAAAAGCAGCAGCAGGAAACAGGGACGATTTTCACAATTCTGTAGGGTCTGTTCTATCTGAAAATTTATGCATCGAGTCAGTGATCTAACCAGGAATATTTTAACTCTCACCAATATAATGAAAACATGGTGTCTGGTATGAGTGCCTGGCAACTGAGCACTATACACAGGGTTTTATTAAGTAATTAGATATAAGATTTTTTTTTTTCCCTGAGCGAACAGGAAAAGAGGAAGCCTATTTTTTAATAGCCAAATCTATATACACTAGAGGATTTATTTCGGGCATGTGAACATACTTTCCTTCAGATGAAATACCAACGATTCTCCTGAGATCGAATGGCCTTCCCACATCAAAGGGCGGGTTGGAGGCCTCAAAGGACAGTCGCCTCCGAAATGGCTCCCAAATCCCTTGAGCTTCCAAATAGGCTGTTCCAATGACCAGAAGGAAGAGGGCACTGGGGAGTACAGAGGTCGGAGAAGAAGATTCGTTTGTTAGTGCAAGAGTAACAACACTCGATACTGATTTCATATTTGACACCATAGCCTCTTGGTAAAGTACAGTTGATACGTTAAAAAAAAAAAAAAAAAAAACGACGCCTAAGAGAATTTATAATGCACAAGACAAGAACAAGCTTTATGGATGAAAGTCTGCACACTAAGTTTTAATGACTGTCGTCTTACATGGAGGCTTATGTAGCACAATTACGTGTGTCACAAGAGAAACCTACAGGATGGTTTTTCTTTCCCTGAGAAGCAGCTTCTTCTATCTTTTCTTTTAGTTTCAACTCTCTAAGGCCAACTCTCTTCCCTTAAAGGCTGTGTGGGGTAATTACATTAATTAATTTAAAGGTGAGTATATCTGATTCCCAAACTACATAAAGAAATATATTGAAAAATAAGAAGATACGGATGTTGAGGATTAAAAAATATTTCTAATCAGCTTCACATTCCTCAGGTACTATTCAAGAGGAATATACTATTGAGTAAATTTTATATGCCAAATCAAGTAACTTTACCTGGTAAACTATGAGTGTTTCTTCCTTTAAGAAATTAACATGTACTTAATTTGCATAATAAATTTCAAAGGTTAAAAAAAGACTTCGGTCGTCTATACGACCTGAGAATGGTGGTTGTTTCTACCTGTATGTAAACTTGATCAAGGCAGAGGCTGTTTTGTTCCTTGGTGTATGCCCAGCACTCTGAACAGTTACTGGCCACAGTGGGCACTTCAACCATGCCAACCAACCTCGTAAGAAGACCCAAGTACCTCATTATTCCTGAGATGATGATGTACAGAGCCAGCTCCCAGTTGGGTCTGGGCAGAGCTTCTGCACAGGTTGCTAACATATGGTAAGGAAGGGATGCATTCAGTATAAACACAAATTCAGAGCCGCTTGTTGTTATAAACTTCAGTTCGCGAATAACTCTGGAAGCTGTGAAATCAGGAGTAAACCTAAAACAGAACGAGGGCAGTAAGGCTAAGTATTAAAAATATACACAAGCAGTTTAAACATAATACTAGTCCTACGAACCTTTGGGATATAACACAGAATTTTAGAGTTTGATACTTTTACTTAACTTCCTCATAAGGGTAGTGACATGAACAACTGTTCTTTTGTGAATAATTGGAGAAATTACATAAAAGAACAATAATAAGTTCTGCAGAATTATTAATTCAGAAGGTGGTTTCCAAGCTTCTTTCCTGCTCTCCTCCTTTCTCCTTTATCTAAACCCACACTCTTCTCCCAAGCTGCCTTCCCTGTAATACTCTTCTTTTAAAATAAAAAAACCATCCTCGCCCTAGTGATCTTTTCTTCATCTTCTGTAGTACTGCTTATTGACAATGATTCTACCTTCATTTTATGTTGACTGTGCTCCCCAACTAGATGATACGCACCTTGAAGAAAGCTGTCTTGTTTCTTGTTGCTCCTTTAAGTCGCAGGCACAATGCCTTGTCTACGTAATGTCGTTATTTATTAAGTAAATATCCACTGAAGATCATGAAATTATTATTCGTTTAAGGGGTAGGGATCATGTTTATTACATAAGCCTTATAATATACCAAATAATCAATCAGTTGTTAAATATGCTGCAACTATCACTGATATGGAGCCCTGGTGGCGCTGTGGTTAAAGAGCTATAGCCACTAACCAAGAGGTCAGCAGTTCGAATCTACCAGCTGCTCCTTGGAAACACTATGGGGCAGTTCTACTCTGTCCTATAGGGCCGCTATGAATAGGAATCAACTTGATGGCAATGGGTTTATCACTAATATAGGCATTCTGTCTTCTCACCCAAACATTCCATGTTGTTAAAAAGCACAACATGGAAAAACTGTACACATATGATGCGAAGTCTCTGGTCTGCTGCTGAGACATTGAATTTACAGTCAATTTCCTTACCAACATTCTATGCTTTGATGCAACTCTGAAAATAATTCTGAAACTGGTTTCTAAGATTATCTGATCCACTTAGGAGACAGGGGAATTCTCACAATTTTGATATGAAGAAGTATCCTAACCAAAAATGAAGTAAAAAATAGTTAAATGAATACATTTATGGATAAAGACCTTTTTGTTTTGTAAATATGGAAATTTATCTTTATACAGAGCTTGAACAACTCCAGGAAAAGTTAGTGAGAAGCTAGTGATTCAGTGCATCTAATAAGAAAATACTTACAATATGATTATGTCTTTAGAAGTGTTGGCACTCAGTGCAAACTCCTGACAGTTAACAACTTTAAAGCCGTAGCCCTCACAGGAGTACCCACTGATTTCAATGGCCTCGACGTGAATCTGCAGTTGTCCCGGGTTCTCTACTTTAAACGTTCTTTTCAACGTGAAATTTGGTTCTCTTAGTTTCAAAGCTAAAGGAAAAAAATTAGGATGCAGTATAAATCTTGGCATCATGTGATCCCAATCCAAATGATTAATACATCATTCACGAACTACTGTATGCCAGAGATTCAGAACCCTCCCCACAGAATTCATCAGAATAACTCCACTTTCTTGTCCTTGTAGACAGCAAAAGGTTAACCATGCTTTGCGTTTCACACTTAGAGCAAATCAGGTGAGGTATGCATTGAGTACTGATACTTTAAATCTTTTTAGTATCTAAATCAAACCATCTTATCAGGTCTGAAAGCAAGGCAGGGCGTTTCCTTAAATACTAATATAAATGTGTGCATATATGAAAATATTATTGTTTTCGGAATTATTTACTGCTGAAAGCAAATGCTGAAATCTGTGCCCTTGAGCTGTTTGGAATACTCACTGTCTGTACAATCTTTTAATAATGCTTCTGTGATTTTAAAGCGTAAGGAGCTTCCGGGACCTGGCAGCTTGCCCGCCACCCTCAGGTTCTCGGTTGTCCCGTGTCCTTGAACCAGTACAGCATCCATTACAGTCAGGTTGTTTCTACGCAAGAACAAGAATTACTGATTTTTCCTCCCATTAAATTTGTGCAATCTTTTGATATATATAATTTCTACTGTAATTTTATAAACCACCATGTAGAAATAATAAACTGCAGACAAAAATTTACATTTTAAGACTTCAAAAATATGTATACTGAGAAGAATGAGAATTTTTCATTTTTAAGAGTCACATAATGGCAATAAGATACTATTCATGTTTTTCAGCTACAAATGTAATCAGAAAGGTTCGTTCATTAAGCGTGAGGGGTGTGTGTGTGTGTTTTGGACAAAGTGGATACCCTATTTTATAAATTAGGTATGCAAACTTATCTTGAAACAAATCCAGAACTGCTGTGTTAAACACTAAAACTTAACTCCCCCCTGAATCACAGAACCTACCTGACTATGATTAGTGAAGAGACAGTTCTGTTGTGAACTGGAGTGAACTTTACTTTGACAGATTTCTTCTCTCCAGGTTTTAAAATTAGGTTTAAAATGAAATGTCGAGAGACGCCTTCGGTAAATCCCGTTGAACTCTGCAGTGGAAGAGCCTTGAATCATTGGGTAAACAAACAGGGGCCATTAACAGTGTTTCTGGGAAAAAGGTTTCTTCTTTCCCCGTCTACAATCCAATGTAGTTCCCCAAACTGATCAAATACGGAAGCAACTGTATTCCTTGTGATTGAGACACTGGTGAGCTGGCAGGTAGAGCTGGGCAGCCAGTGACAACCCAAAAAGGGGCCTTGTTGTTCTGCCCCCAAAGTCCTCAAGCTGCACTAGGCATTTGTGTTGGTATAAAGATATTGTTATTTTTAACCTTTTGAATTTTGAAATATAATACACATAACAGAAAAGTACACAAACTTAAGAAGAATGGCTCAATGCTTTAGCACAAAGTAAATACCCGTGTAACCAACACCCAGCACCCAAACTCCTACTTATACCTCACCTCCCCGTCACTGCTTCCCACCCACCCCCTCTGAAGGTAACTGACTGAAGTTTCTGAAGGTTGCATCTGAGAAACCATTTTCATTCTCCTAGAATGCAGATTCTTAGCTTTCACGGAAGCTGGGGTACCCACAGGCATTGCCTTTAGGTGTCCTTCTTGAACCTCGAGCCTTGAACAAACTGGTTCCTAAAAGCCATTTTTAAGTCAAACAACAGTCTAGATAAACTAGTAAAACTTTTTGCTTTGGGCATTGTGCTCTTTTGAAGAATTAGGTCAGTTTTGGGAAACAGACTCCAACGGTCAGACCAGGAGCTAAGTTTAGGGTAAACTGGTAATTATTTTCATTGTTCTTCAAGACAATGCCATATGGAAATCCCTCCTGACCACAAATTTCTCAGTGCTGTTCCGACCCCTTTTCCATGGCCAATATGATTTGGTTTAAGAGTGTTTCGAGGTTCTCTGATCTTCGGAACATTTCTGACATTCTAGTCAAAACGTTGGCGCCCTGGTGGCACAGCAGTTAAGAGCACGGCTGCTAACCAGAAACACTGGCAGTCTGAGTCCACCAGCGGCTCCTTGGAAACCCTGTGAGGCTGTTCCACTCTGTCCTACAGGTCAGAATTGCCTCCACGGCAATGGGTTTCATTTTTGGCTTAGTCAAAATGTTACCCTGATTTGCAAATTGTATATTCAATAAACTTCAATTTCTATCACTGGCTAATTTCTATGATTTTTGTTTTAACATATCGTACTTTTTATTTGTAAAAATATTTCTAATTCATACCATCTCTCCTCGAATTTCATTTTGAAGGCTAAGCACATACTGTTTTATAAATACTTGATGATTTAAAGTTTAAAGAATAGCTTAGTTTAAGAAGTCATGTTTTATGACTTCTTGACAGCCAGTTACCAATCATTTTAAGAATAGTTGCCTTTTGATAACACACAATACAGGGAAGTCAGCACAACTGGACTAAACCAAAAGCTAAGAAGTTCCCTGAATACAACCAAACACTTCGAGGGACAGAGTAGCAGGGGCGGGGGTCTGGGGAACTTGGTATCAGGAGACATCTAGGTTAATTGGCATAACAAAGTTTATTAAGAAAATGTTCTGCATCCCATTTTGGTGAGTGGCGTCTGGGGTCTTAAAAACTAGCGAGTGGCCATCTAAGATGGGTCAACTGGTCCCAATCCACGTGGAGCAGAGGAGAATGAAGAACACTGAAGACACAAGGAAAATATTAGCCCAAGACACAGAAAGGGCCACATAAACCAGAGACTTCATCAGCCTGAGACCAGAAGAACTAGATGGTGCCTGGCTACCACCAATGACCGCC